CCGCCCCTGTACGATAGCCCGGATTGCGGCCCTCGAGGAGAGCCTGTCGGCGGAGAAGGTCTTCACGGCCGAGCTGCAGTCGCGCCTGACCACGCTGGCCAGCGATCTGGACCTGGCGCGAGCGGATCTTGGCCGCGCTCGGTCGGCGCACCTGGCCGAGGAGTTGCGCGCGCGGCAGCTTGGCCAGCAGCTGGCCGAGGCCAGCGCCGGGGTGGCCCGCCTGTCCGAGGTGGAGGCCCAGCTCCGAGACAAATTGGCGGCCGAGGAGCTGTCCCTGCAGCACACCCGGCAGAACCTGCTGTCGCAAGCGAACCAGGCGCGCGAGGCCGGCGAGCGGCATCGTGCCGAGATGCTGGCCTCGCTGGCGGCCGACCGGGCCACCCTCTATGCGTCCATCGGGGACCTGCGGACGTCGCTCGAGCGCGAGCGGACCTCCCTGTCCAACATGATGGCGGCTCGCGAGCGCGAGCTCGACCGGGCTCGCGGCCAGCTCCAAAAGTGGGGTCTCTCCGTGCGCGGGGTGGCCATTCGCGCGCGGAACATGGTGTCGCGTGCGCACCGCGAGCTGTCCGAGCAAAAGGTACCCCCCCCCCCCTGCACCCGTCTTTCGGCCCGCCTGTTGGTGGCTCTTCCACTTGCCTGGGGCGGCCTCGTCTCTGCCCTGCCACCCTCTCGCCGGTTCCAGCGCTGACCCTTGCCCCGCCCCTTCCTTTCCCTGCCTCCCAGTCGCTCGGCGTACGCACCATGCACGCGGCCGAGCAGCTCAAAAAGGTCATCGCCCAGCTGTTCCGCGAGCGGTCGGCCCTGATGGATGTCATCGGGCTGGCCCCTCCGGATGTGACCGGGGCGATCTCTTCGGCCGAGCAGCAGCAGGTGCCCCTGCCCATCACCGCTGCGCCTGCCACTGCGGCGGCTCCTCCCGCCAGTGGCGGCGCCCCGCGTGTCGCCCCCCCCGGCGCCCGGCCGATGGCCAGCCCCTCTGCCACGAGGCCGGCCCAAGGCTAGAGAGAGTGAGGAGGACGGGGGCGGTCCGACTCGTATCTCGCCCGCGCCCCCGCACTCTCATTCTCCAATTTTCCCCCATACCCCCCCCTGCCCTTGCTACATTTTTCATGCGTGTGCCAGCCGCGCACTTCTCCCCCCCCCCCCTCCCCCTCGGTGCGCGCGCTACCTCCGCCGCACGGACGACTCCGCTGGCAGTCTCCGCGATGTGGCCCGTGACCATAATAGAACCTAAACCACGCCAAGAAGGAATGTTATTCCGCACTTAGGGGCCGTAGTGGGCTGGGACAATCCACGAAGGCGTCTGTTCCCCCCATGGCTCCAGGCTGGCCAGTCCGACTTATGAGATCCTGGGGGCGGGGGGCGGACCGTGCGCTTGACACCTCGGCTCGGGAGGCGGCCGGGGGGGGGGGGGGGGGACCCGGCCCCCCCCCCCCGGCCCCCGCCCCCCCCCCCCCCCCCCCCCCCCCCCCCGGGCTGGCGGCATCGCACCGGGCAGGACACCGGGGGTGGGGCGTGGCAGATCGGCGAGAAATGTTCGTGTGTCCGCCTCGGCGGCGCGCCCTCGTCCCGGCCGCACCCCATGGGGTAGGTGACGGCCAGGTGTGTACTCGCCGGATCTGGTTCCCGGGCTGAGTATCTCCCGGATACTGGTGCAGGGCGTAGCGGCGGCGGCGGCGGCGGCGGCGGCGGCGGCGGCGGCGCTGTCCGTGCTCGCTATGGCGGACCGGCAAAGGGGCCTGCGCGCGTAGCGGGGCGCATGCCGAAGGCCAGCCATTGCGTCAGGCACCCGAGCAGGGCGCACGGCAAGGGGCCGACCGCGGCGCTTTCGTCCGGGAGCGGGGGGGGGGGGGGGGAGGGCGGTGCTCCGATCGTGGTACGCGCACGCAAGCACGCGCCATCACAGGGCGCCCGTGTCGGCCCTTTCCTTTCTCGGGCTGCAATCAGGGTGGTCAGAGGACGCCACCAGGCCAGGCACCGCCTCTAGAGTGTTCGCGACCGAGCGGGCGACATGGGGGAGGGGCGGCGTCTCCGCCCCCCCCCCCCTCCCCCCGTCCCTCCGGGCAGCCCCAGGGAATGCGGGCGTGCAGTGTGGCACGCACACACGCCCTCCCCCCTCGCCGCCCGGGGGGGTCCGAGCGCGGAGATCCCTGGCGAAGACGCGGCCGGCGCCTGAGCAGGGGGGAGCCTGCAGACAGACAGTCAGGCAGGCAGACAGGCAGGCAGGCGGGGGGGGTCAAGTGTGGCCACCGGCATCAGCGGGCGCACGGTCGCGCCCGCGCCCCCTCGCCGGCGGTCCAGCGAGGAGGGGCCCCGGGGTCACCGGGCGAGGCAGACGCTTGGCAGTTGGCGCCCGGCTGGCGGTGGCTGCGGACGCGCCGGCCACACTGCCGGCACTAGTCCAACGGCATTTCAGCCGGCCCTGCCGCGGGATCGCCGTCCGCATCCACCGCGGCCCTGTTCGGCGGTGGTGGCGGCGCCCCCGCGCGTATGCGCACCCCCTCCCCCGCAGACATGAGCCGCGCGGGCCGGCTCCCAGAAAATCGCCCCCCTCCCCCGGGTGGGGGGACGCGGCACTTCTCCGCCCTCCCCCCCCCCCCGCTGCCGGGGGCGGGTGCTGCGCGGGACCGGGCGGGTCAGCGGCCAGGCATGCGCGACTCGCATCCGGCGCCCGGGCCGGGGCGAGGAGCAGCCGCGCCAAGCGCTCGGGGCTGCGGTGGAGGCGGCGGCGGCGGCAGGGGGGGACTCGCGGGCCCGGGCGACGCAAAGGGACACAGGGGAGATGTCTGTGGTGCCTGGCGCCGGGGGCTTTTGTGCCACAGTGCCGCCGCGGCACGCGGGTGCCCACGCGTTCTAGGAGTAGTGATGACGTCCATCTTGCCAACTGGTAAACCCCCTCCCTCTCGCCCTCCCCCCCCTCCCCCCCCCTCCCCCCGTCCCACGCCCGCGCCTCCCTCCCTCTGCCTTCCCGCGCCTCGCGACACCCACGCTCGCGCTCTCCCTCGTCCCCCTTCCACCCTCCCTGTTCTTGCCTCAGACACCCCCTTCTCGAGCCTCGGCCCGTGAGCGTCTGCGATCCCCTCCGCCGAACGCCGCCGCCCCCCCCCCTCCTCTTCGCCTGATTCCGCCCACTCCCGCCGCTCAGGACTGCCTCGGCCTCCCCTGCCCCATCCCGCATCTCCTCCCTCCCTCCCCGCTGGTGGGTATTCGTTCTTGCATCTCCCCCCCTCCCTCCCCCCCCCCCTCCCCACCATTGGCCGCTTACCCTCCTTCCCCCTCCCTCCCTCTCTCCTCACCCATACCCCTTCCTGTGTGCGGCGGATCGCGCAGAGTCCTACTCGTCGGGAAAAGAAAAAGAAAAATGTCTACCCCCGTTTCATTCATTGAGATCCTCCAGAACACCCTCTCGACCGACATCAACCTCCGGACACAGGCGACCGAGTTCCTCACCAACGCCCAGAATGAGAACTTCGTGCGTGGCCCCCGCCCCGCCCTCGCCCCCCCCCCCCCCCCCCCCCCCCCCCCCCCCCCCCCCCCCCCCCCCCCCCCCCCCCCCCCCCCCCCCCCCCCCCCCCCGCCTCGGCCGCGCCTGTAGGCCGCCGTTTGCCGCGATCTCCTTGTGCGCTTCGTCATGCCGGCATTGCTCCTTCGTCGGGCCGCCTTCGAAGCGCTGGCCCCCTTCCTGGCCCGGCTGTCCTGGGCATTCCCCGCGCACATGGGTCTCCCCCCGTTCTTCGCTCGCCCGACCCCCCTCTCGCTAACGTGAACTCGCGTCCGCCCGCAGGCCGGTCTGCTCCGGGAGCTGATCGATGTCCTCTTCAACGAGGCCAACTCGGCGGATGTGCGCCGTGTGGCCGGCCTGTTCGCCAAGAACAGCCTGACCGCCACCGCGGACGACATCCGCACCGAGATCCTCAACAAGTGGCAGCAGGTCCCGGTGGAGAGCCGCAACGAGATCCTCTCCATCGCCCTGAACGCCCTCGGCACCACCACCCCGCAGGTCGGCTCGGTTGTTGCCCAGGTACGCACGCGCGCGCTCCCGTGCCCCCCCCCCCCCCCCCCCCCCCCCCCCCCCCCCCCCCCCCCCCCCCCCCGCCTCCCCTCTCGCCCCGCGTCTCCCGTCCGCGGTTTTCCCCTGACTCGCTCGACCTTTCGGCCGCGCCCCCTCCTCGCAGCTGGTCGCCGCGATTGAGGACCTCCAGGCGCGCGTGTTCAACAGCGTCTGCCTCCTGCCGCAGATCCTCGGCCTGCTGGAAAGCCAGACCAACCTTACCATGAGCATCCGGCTCAACTGCCTCGAGGCCATGTCCTTCATCTGTGAGCTGCTGGTGCGTCGCCCCCCTCCCCCCTCCCCCCCCCTCTGCTGGCAGCCACTGCTGCTGGCCCTTTCCCTTTTTCTTTCTTGTGTCCAAGTCTCTCGGTCTCCTTCCCCTCCTCCCGTGCGTGCTGTTTCTCACTCCCTCTCCCTGACCCCGCTCCGGCTTGCCCTGCCCGCGTAGAACCCCAACATGCTCTACGAGTTCTCCTCGCGCATCCTCAATGTCCTGTTCGGTGTCCTCAACTCTTCGGAGACGTGCGTGCTCTCCTTCCCTTCGCGCCCCGGCCTGCTGCTCCGGAGCCCCCCCCCCCCCCCCCCCCCCCCGCCGCTGACCTGCTCGTGTCATCCTCACCTGGCCCCTTTCCATGCCCCTATGCCTGGGCCGCGGTCCACAGCGACATGCGCAGCTACCAGAAGGCCATCTCCGCGCTGAACAATGTCCTGCGTATCTGCCGGACCAACTTCGACAACCCGGCCGAGTGCGGCGCCATCATGGCCGTCATCCTCAAGGGTGTCACCTCGGCCGATCAGAACCTCCAGGTCCAGTCGCTGCAGTGCCTGATCAGCGTCGTGTCCATGTACTACAACGTCATGAACGAGTATATGGCCTCCATCCTGGATGTATGTCACCTCCCTTCCTTTTGCTGGCCACGGCCGCCGGACGCCCCCCCCCTTTTTTTCCCCCCCGCCACTGCTTGCCACTGACCTGCCCTCCCCTCCCCCTTGCGTCCCTCTCTGCCTCTCTCTCTCTCTCTCTCTCTCTCTCGCTCCCCTCCCCTCCCCTCCCCCCCCGACCTCCACCTACGCGCGTGCCAGTCCACCATCCACATCATGAAGGGCCAGGACGACGACGTCATCCTCCAGAGCGTGGAGCTTTGGTCGACTCTGGCGGACGAGGAGATCCAGCTGCGCATGGAGCATGAGGAGGCGCGCGCCCTCGGCCAAGACCACCCCGGGATGGTGGTGTACAACTTCGTGCAGGCCGCCCTCGGGAAGCTGATCCCGGCCCTGTATGACCTGCTCATGCGGCAGGACGAGGACGGCGACGAGCACGAGTGGAATGTCTCGCGCGCGGCGTCGGTCTGCCTGTCGCTGATCGCCCGGTGCGAGCCGAACGACTGCCTCCGGCTCCTGCTGCCGCAGATCCAGGCCGACATCGTCAGCACCGACTGGCGTCGGCTGGACGCGGCGTTCAACGCCTTCGGCAACATCCTCGATGGCCCGGATGTCTCGCAGCTGGAGACCTATGTCATCAGTGCGCTGCCCATCCTGACCAACAGCATCAACCACCCGCACACCATTGTCCAGGACACCTCGTCCTGGGTGGTGGGCCACATCTGCGAGCTCTTCTACACGGAGATCGTCGCGCGCGGCCAGCTGGAGGCCATGCTCAGCTACCTGCAGGCCGGCATGCAGGCCCGCCCGCGCGTGGCCTCCAACTGTGCCTGGGCTCTGATGAACCTGTGCGAGTACCTCGGTGACAACACCATCGTCCGCCAGAAGTCCCCGCCGGTGGACAATGCCACCGTCATGACTCCCTTCTTCCAGCCGCTGTCGGAGGCCCTGCTCCGGGCGTCCGACCGCCAGGATGGCGACCAGTCCAACCTTCGCGAGTACACCTACGAGGCGCTGTCCTACCTGATTCTCTTCATCCCGCCGGTACGTGTGTGTGTGTGTGTGTGTGTGTGTGTGTGTGGGCCCTTGCTGCCCCCCCTCCTTCGCTCCTGCTCCCTTTCGCGCCCCTCCTCGCCCCTCCCCTTCTTCCCCCTCGAATGTGTCGCTTGCCCTTCCTCTTCGTCACCATCTTCCTGTTGTGCCGTGCTCGCCGTATGCCGGGCGTGCCACTTCCCCAGGCCGGGCCTTTCTCTTCCTCGCTCCCCCTCGCCTCGCATGCCCTCTTGCTGACCCATTCCTTCGGCCATGTGTGTGTGCGCGCGCTCCTCCGGTCTTTCGCCCGGTTTGTCTCCCCCGTCCCGCTCGTCCCCCCCCCCCCCCCAATGTTCCCGCAGAGCGACCCTCAGATCCTGCACCAGATCACCGAGACCATCATCTCTCGTCTGGAGGCCTGTGTTTCGCGCGAGGGGCTCATCCTCAGCTCCGAGGAGCGCAACCACTTCCACAAGCTCCAGTCCTACCTGTGCAGCCTGCTGCAGGTACGCATGTCTCCCCCCGCCCCCGGCGGCCTCTCCCAGGGCCTCGTATGGCGGCAGGCATTGTCGCTCCTCCTTCTTCCTCTTCTCCTTCTGCGCACAATGGCCTCCTCTCTTATTCACAGCCTCGTCTGCTCTCTCTCTCTCCCCCCCCGGCCCCCTCACCCGATCCACCCACGGCGGAAAACACAGTCGGTCTGCCGTCGCCTCGGCAACGCCACCTCCAACTACGCGGATCGCATGATGACCTGCCTCCTGACCATGTTCTACCACTCGAACGAGCGCCAGGTGGCCATCCTGGAGGACGCCCTGCTGGCCGTCGGAACCATCATCCTGGCCGTGGAGGCCAAGTTCGAGCGGTACATGGGCAGCTTCAGCCCCTACCTGACCGCGGCCATCGAGACGCACCGGCAGTTCCAGCTGTGCTCGGCCGGCATCGGTGTTCTGAGTGACCTGTGCCGTGCCCTCGGGCCGGCCTTCACCCCGTACGCCGAGCACTATGTGGTCCTCTGTGCCAACGCCCTCCAGTCGCAGATCATCAACCGCTCGGTCAAGCCGCTCATCCTGGCTGCCCTCGGTGACATTGCCCTGGCCATCGGCCCGAGCTTCGCCCCGCACTTCGAGACCTCCATCAACATCCTGCTTCAGGCCGCGGTCTTCCAGATTTCCACGGTGCGTATGCGCTCGCGCACTCGCGTGGCATTCGCCTCTCCTTGCTTTTCTTTCCCCCCCTCCCCGCCTCTCCCTCTCTTGCCCTTCTAACGCCGCGTCCATGCCGCGCTCCTCGCCCGCGCCCGCCCGCGCCCGCTCCACAGGACAACTTCGACGACGCGGACTTCATGAACGAGCTCTTCCAGGGCGTGCTGGACGGCTTCTCCGGCATCATCCAGGGCTCCAACGACCCGGCCCTCCTGTCCAACAGCGTGACCCAGATCTTCGAGTTCTGCCACCGGGTCAGCAAGATCCACTACGAGTTCAGCTCCCTGGAGCCCGGCCTGATCGGCCTCATGGTGGACCTCTTCACCATTTACCCCCCGAGCGCCTTCCCCGACATCCGGCAGTTCTCCACCGCCCCGTGGGTGCGCATGCTCTTCGACAACGCCCGCCGGTCGCGCGACAGCTACACCCGCGAGACTGCCTCCATCGGCCTGAAGCTCATCGCCTAAGAGAGGCGTCTGGAGCATGTGCCCTCCTCCACACCTTCTTCAGAACCCGCTGCCGCCCAGCCTCGCCCTTCCCCTCCCTTCCCCCTCCTTCCACTCTCCTTCCTATGTCCTCCTCTCTTTGTACCTCTCCCTCCCTCCCTCCCTCCCCCCCTCTCTCTCTCCCCCCTCCTAGACAGCTGTCGCCGCCGTACCCTCTCCCCCTCCCTTGTGTGCGGCGGAAATGCGAGAGTCCGAGACCCTCCTCCCACTTCCCTCCCCCCCGGACGCACATTCGCATGCGCGCGCGCGCGCGCGCACACACACACACACACACATACCGTGTGTGTGTGTTCCCTCTCTCTTGGGAGGAGAGGGACGCGGAGCCGGCCCGCCGCGCCCCCCCGCGCGTGCCCGTCGCCTCCCTCCCCGCCACCTCGCTTCTTCTCTCCCCCCTTTCTCCCCCTCACCCCCCCCCCCCCCCCCCCCCCCCCTTCTACACCCCCCCCCCCTCCCTTCCCCCCCCCCCCCCCCCCCCCCCCCCCCCCCCCCCCCCCCCCCCCCCCCCCCTGGGCGCCCCGCGCTGCCCCCTCCCCCAAGACGCCCGGGGGGGGGGGGGGGGGGCCTTTGCGCCGGGGGGGGGGGGGGGGGGGTATGCGCCGGTTCTATTGTCCTCCACCGGCTGCCGGAATCACGGCGGAGGCAGGGACGCCTGCAGGATGGCCAGGGCCTTTTGCCCACGTACCCCGGACCAGGGGGTCCGGTCGAAGCGTCGCGGGCCAAGGCGCAGGTCGCCGTCGGCCGGCGCCGAGGCCGGGCCATCCGGTGCCGTGTCTCGGAGTCGCTCGCTCCCCGGGTCGCGGTAGAAGAAGTGCGTGATGGGCACCTGGGACCCGGCGGCATCATACCCGAGAATGGCTGCGCGGCGCTCGATGGCCGGCCGGACGAAGCCATCTGTTTGGGCCTGGTGCTGGTGGATGCCATTCCGACGGAAGACCCTGGCCGCATGGCGATCGCGTGGGTGCCCTCGCCCGAGGTCAGTGAGGGGTGCGACCCGTGTGTATGTCATATATGTATATATATATATATATGTGTGTGTGCGTGTGTGCGTGTGTGCGGGGAGAAAAAGAGACAAAGGGAGATAAGGCATGTCGCACCGAAATAGGGCATCCGAATCGATGGCCAAGTCCGCCAATGCAGCCTCCTCCTCGCGGGGCTCTCGGCCAACAGACGGCCAGACATGCAAGTACAGGGCCGTCACGCGGGGGTCCGGAAAGTCCTCAGGCAGCCGGAGACCGGCCGGCGGGCTGCCCTCGGCGGGGGCACCAGCGGCCGTTGGCGGAGAGCGCAGGGCGCCGAGCGCGCGAGCCAACGCCCGAGTGGCCGGCGAGAGGCCGGACCGCGCGGCTGGTGTCATGTTCGGGTACCCGCGCCACCACGCGGCAAACCGTTGAAGCAGGACATCCGGCTTGGCCTCGTCATGGTCATCGGCGAAGGCGGCCAGGATCTGACCAGATGGCCGGCAACATGCCCCCCGCCCACCAACAGGTCAGCCACAGGGCGGGTCCCCGCAGGGTTTGGCAAAAGCCAGATGGCCAAGTACGCACCTCGCAAGCGAGCACCGGCCCAACACCGAAGAGACCCTCCGAGAAGTCCGACCCCAGGAGGTGTGCCAGCTGGATGAGTCGCGAGCGGGAAAGACCCTGGCCATGGGGAAATGCCCCGCCGGGACAGGGGAAACAAGGGAGCGAGGGAGCGAGGAGACAAGGCAGGCCGACGGCAAGTCAGTGGCGTGCAGGGGGAAACGAAAAAAAAAGCGCATCCAGGGTGCCGTGCGCACCAGGTTCCCGCGCAGGGCCGCCAGGGAATAGAGCCGCAGGGCGCCGGGTCGCGAGCCGAACAGGCCCCGGACAACGGTGCGCGAGCCGAAGAGCAGCGCATCATTGTCATCCGACAGGACCACATCCACCTGGCCGCGTTGCGAGAGAAGCCCGCACCGGGCCTCGGCATCCTCGACCAGGCCGCCTGGCCGGGTTCGAGCTGTCAGCCAGCCGGCCCCCACTGCAAGCAGGGCCACCGCCAGCTCGTCCATCAGGTCCGGCGAAGTGAATGCCATGGCCGCCGGATGGTCGGCCTCAGGCAGGAGGCCCGGCCCATCGGATGAAGGTGCCGGGGCCGGTGGCTCCGAGCCCCTGGCCGATGGCAGCAGGCTGGCCACCTGCTCGGCCACCTGCTCGGCGTGCTGGCTGAGGGCCGCGCCCCCGGCATCCGGGCGGAAGGGACTCACTGCGTGGGCTGCATCGCGACGCAGCTGTCGATCCAGGCTGGAGATGGCGGCTGCCAGCCGGCCGGGGTCCAGGCGCACGCTGGCCGCCCCCGCGGAGACG